AGTCCGAGGGAAAAAATATGTAAATGATTCAGATCACATGTCAGAGAGCCAGAGTGAGTCGAGTCAATTTGATGCTCTGAGTGTGTCTGTGTCTTCTTTTGCTGGCAGCGAGCTGCTAGAGGCATTAGGGCCTGCTTTCAGTAAAAGAAACACCAAGTGTGAAGAGCATGTGGAGTCTGAACCTGGAGCCACTGCAAGGCTGCCAGATGATTTGAACCATAGCCAGCTGACATTTGACTCCAGTGCTGAGAATCTGCTAGATGCTGTCGTTGCCAATGTGTGTCATAATGACAGTAACATCAGATGTGAAATACCATCGAGTAGAACAATGCAGTCTGTTCTTACGAATGTTGAAAGGGCAGAACCTTCAGGCCATGCAAAACATGATATTGTTAGTTCGGTTGGGAGTGTGATTAATCAACTGGCTCTTGCAGAAAGAAGTACTCAACAGAATCCATCTGATATTTGTGGGGCATTTTCTTCTATTGGCTTCTCTTCTAACTGTCCCAGTTCCTCTAGTGAGCAGTTTCAGACTTCAATGGAGATGCCCAAGAAAAGTAAAAAGAGGGCTAAACCTGGTGAAAGTTCTCGGCCTCGTCCAAGGGACAGGCAACTCATTCAAGATCGTATTAAGGAGCTTAGGGAACTTGTGCCGAATGGCTCTAAGGTAAATCTTATGCTCCTAAGCTATGAAGTTGCCCGTGGCTTTGTAGTTTTATTTGTACGAGTTTTATGTTTTTTGTGATATTTTGTAACAAATTTGTTATATTTTACAGTGCAGCATTGATTCTTTGCTGGAACGCACGATCAAGCATATGCTCTTTCTTCAGAATGTCACTAAACATGCTGACAAGCTCAATAAATGTGCTAAATCGAAGGTAAAAGTCGGGCTTCTCTACGATTGGTTATTTATCTTGTCTTTTCTGGAATATGAATGTTAGATAGCCTTGTTAATGAAGTGACTTACTGGGTTACAGAGCACGGTTGATCAATCAGATTTTGTGTCAATACTTGAATTGCTTTCTAGGAAGCGAAAATGACTCTAGGACATAAAAAATTTCAGTAGGAAATAAAAACGTGCAGCGTGTGGATTCTCATGTTTACCTTTGTACCTTTTGGACATTTAGATGCAGCACAAGGAAAATGGCATTACAGGATCAAATAATGCAGAACAAGGTTCAAGCTGGGCAGTGGAGGTTGGAGGGCATCTTCAAGTGTGCTCAATCGTAGTGGAGAACCTGAACAAACAAGGACTGATGCTTATCGAGGTATGTATGTGTTTTGTTGTCGTGGTTTATGAGAGAGTCCTTAGATCCAAAAGCTATACATACAGTGTATACACTGTATAAAAATTCTCGGCTTGAGAGTGTATTTTCGGGTGGTGAACAGATGTTATGTGAAGAATGTAGTCATTTTCTAGAGATAGCCAACGTGATCAAGAGCTTGGACCTCACCATCTTAAGAGGCGTCACAGAGGCACAAGGCGAGAAAACATGGATCTGCTTTGTAGTTGAGGTAAGGGGATCAACTTCCCAACCGCAGAGCAAAAACCCGAATGCTCATTCCCAAATTTCGATATCCGGTTTTAGTTATGAGAGTGTGTGTGTGTGTGTGTGTGTGTGTGTATGTATTGGTAATGTGGTGGAGACTGAATGATGGATTTTGCAGGGGCAAAACAGCAAGGTAATGCATAGGATGGACATTTTGTGGTCACTGGTGCAAATATTTCAACCCAAGGCATCTGCCAAGCGGTAGAATGAATGAATGAAAGACATATTGCCTTTTGTTGTGTTGTCATTGCCTCTTTTCCTCTTTTGTTTTGTTTTTATAGAGAGTGTGTGTGTGTGTGAATGTGTGTTGTTTGATGATTGCATTTGCTTGCTTAGCTTTAATGAATCTCTCCGAGGAGGTTGTGAAGATTTTTCCAATTTGTTCAAAGCTTTGTTTTTACTCTATTGTAAGCCCAGATTCTGTGTAAGAATACTACTTGGATTTGTCCCAATACCACTCGGCACATATATATATCTACGTATGTATACGGTATACGGTATCCGGTAACATGTAATTAGCGAATTTATTCTCTTTTTTTTGTCCTAATCGAAAACCGGAAATAAAAACGGCAATAACCGACCAAAAGACCCGTTCGGTCCGTGTCTGGTTTTGGTCAAGCCGAGCCTCTTTCTCTGGGCATTTTACTCATGACGGACTTGGGTCGCCTACACCACCAAAAAAATATAACACATTAAATTTCTTTCGAAAAAACCATATTATCCTTAATAAAACCGCATAATTTATCCATTAAAAAAGGTATTGTAATTGCGACATCATAATTAATTCTAAATACAGTTGCAATTGATTCTGAATGAGGCGACAAAAAATACATGTTTCAAATTTAAAAAATAACTATATTTTTTTTTATACCTTCACTTCTTATACGATCATAAATATATTTTTTTAGTCGTATATTAGTTATATAATAATCGTAATAAAAGTCAGTAAAAAATAAAAAAAATGATATTTCTCACTGGAACGAAATAATGGTATAAAATTGAAAAAAAAAATTATTTTTTTAGCAGTGTACCCGAGAAGTTACTGCGACCCAATGCGACCCAATGGGTCATTCGAGTAAAATGCACTCTCTGGTGGAGTCTTTCTCTTTTTTTTTTTTTTTAAAGAAAAAACAAATATCGAAATTCTTCTCAAGCACGAATCTGATTCTTCTTCTTCTCCCCCTCTCTACGGCTGCTGAAACGATTTCGGCGACCGAGTACGAGGCGGCGAGATCACGATTATAAGGTTTGTTTCTCTCTGTCTCCTTTTGTTTTACATGGTGTGTCTTGATTTGGTCAGGGTTTCTCTAGTTTTCGGCCATTGGAGCTGCTCCAATCTGACTTGATCGTCGGTAAATTCTAGGCGTCGATGATGGTTTTATGCGTATATCGGTTGAATCTTGACAATAAAGTTGCATGGGATAATGAGATTTAGCCGGATGAGATAATATGGTTTCTCGATATCTGTGGAATGTATTTGATGGCTGGAAACAAAGCTTGAGAGTTTGTGTTCAGGGACTTCGTTTGTTTCTGTATTTTCCATGTATCAGCGAGTAGTTGGGTTAACAGTACTCATTGATGTGTTTCATTCATGATCATGGGTGGTTTAATCTGATGAATCTATGGGGATTTTACTCAATCAGAGATCTCTTAAGGGAGAAGAACGGGCAAGAACATGAAGTGAACCAAAGTTCATGTCTGCATTACTTTTCCTCCCAAATTCCTTTTTTTTTGTCAGCCACATTGTGTGAATGGAAAGATGAAACTCCCTGTCTACAAAACACGGAAGAGACTGAATGCGAGATTCGATTCGAGGGCACTCCTCCATCCGATCTCTGATTCTCCTCCCGCTTTTCGTCATATATTTCAGAGTTTCTGCCATTCTCAGTTGACTAATGCTGTTTGTGCTGTTTCATTGCTCTCTGTCGGTTTGTTTCAGTGATTGGTTGTTCCATTCTTGGTCTTAGCATGCTGCTTTTTGCCATTAACCTTTGCAATTGCTCGTGCTTTAACTCATTGCTTGCCGGTTTTAAGGATAAACAAGAAAAAAAAATGTCGACAAAATGACCAATTTGTCTCCCATAATTGCAGGTGTCAAATAAAAATCCAGTCTGGAGCCATGAGCATGGCGACGAGGCCTTCATCTTCAGCCGCAGCCACTGTCATCTTAGAAAACCCGAATGCCAAATCATCACAACTGCCATTGGTGCTTAGACTTAACCGAAAGAAGAAGAAGGTTACATGGAAGGAAGGGACAATAGACAACGAGTTCATGCAGAAGAAGAGCTCCAAGAAGTGTTGCATCTTCCACAAGGATAAGCCTTTTGACGAGGACGACAGTGGAGAAGAAGATAACGGCCATGACCATCATCATCATGGTCATGATCATAAACATGACCATGGTGAATCATGTGGTGCCTCCTCGTCTAACGATTCCAAAAACCATTTTGATTGATCAAAGGGTGGATTTTTGTATCACCCGATATTAGAAATTTAAAATGATTGAAGTTTTATGGGTAGATCCTGGTTGGATCATATATGTAAATGTAATTTGCAAAACACTACAATGAGACATGTGTTATTGCAATTTGTATTAAAATGTGTCCTGATCAAAATTAAGGTTTCAAAACGGGAAATTTTTAAATATTAAATATTAAAATATATAAAAACGATTAGAATTTAAAATTTGGATTTTAAAATGTATATATTTCAAAAGTCATTGTATTTCTACCTTCTGATGTCACAAGATATCTGAACTAAGATAATATTATTAGTTAAGGATCTTGATACTGAATATGCACTAAACCAACATTAAGTTATAAACCCACTAAGAATTGTCCGCTAATTAAGAATAAATTAAGACTAAATCATGATTATTATGTGGGTTGGATGATCATGGGCTTCTGTTTTTCTACTCTGTAAAGTTTATTGAAACTCAAAGTACCCCCAAAAAAGTTGATAAATTTATTGATAGGAACATTCTTTCAACCCAAAAAAAATAATCATAGGCTAATATCAACCTTTTCATACATACATACATACATACATACATACATACATACATACATACATACATACATACATACATACATACATACATACATACATACATACATACATACATACATACATATGAATGTGCATGTATGCAATAGGACACATGAACTAATTTAATTTGTATAAATTGGTTTGCAACTTTGTCTTATAACTTCATCAATAATATATTATACCAAGCCCATATAAATTAACAATGACCAATCAAAAGATATCAGCTTAAAGAAAAAAAGATCCCTGTATGGTTTCAGACCATTTCCATCCAATAGAACCATTTCAAATCTGCAAACATTCTATTGGCTTTGGATTGTCATCTTTTTTTTTTCAGGAAAAAAAAAGTTTTTTGTTCTAAAACCTTGAAAGTGTATACCTTTTTTTTTTGTAAGTGATAACCAATCATAAAACATGATCAAACAAATGCTACTTGGGTTTGGTTTCATGTTAACTCACTGTTTTGTCCCTTGTGTCCAATGAAATCTCATCTGAATCTCTTTAATCCCTTATTATAAAGGCACGGATTTCTACAAGGCGATATATTATATATAACATTTGAATGAAAATGTATTTTTTTTTTCACAATTACATCATGTTATTGAAAAAAGAAATACAAAAGTTGTAACACTGTAGGCCATTACTGTCACCAAAATGTGATTAAAAATTGATTAATCATATGAACCCACCTTCTTCCTCAACGTCTATAAAAAAGCCTTCTCCTTCTGCATTCCTCTTTCACTCGTTCATTTGTAAGGAGAAGAATAAACTTTCATCAATTCTTGAGAGAAAAAAAACACAAACCCCAAAAAGAAAAAGCTCATAAATAAGATCAAAAGCTGAAAAATCAGAGAACAGAGATGACAGGTTTAGGATCTCCATGCGGAGCATGCAAGTTCTTGAGGAGGAAATGCGTGAAGGGGTGCGTGTTCGCGCCTTACTTCTGCCATGAAGAAGGGGCCTCTCATTTCGCAGCCATACACAAAGTGTTCGGAGCGAGCAATGTCTCGAAGCTTCTGTCTCATATTCCGCTCAAAGACCGGTCTGAAGCCGCTGTAACCATCTCTTACGAGGCTCAGGCTCGCCTTCACGATCCCATCTACGGCTGCGTATCTCACATCTTCGCCCTCCAGCAACAGGTGAAATCTTGCATTCCACGTCATAGTTCTAGGGTTAGGTTTCATAAAAATTCCCTTTAACAGTATATGTTATACAAACTTTTTTTCTGTGGAATAGGTTGTCAGTCTTCAGGCGCAACTGGCATTTTTAAGCGAAGAAGCTTCTAGAAGGATCGTGGGGAGGAATTCTACGGAACCCGAGTCACGGCTCAGCCCGAGTCACATGGATCTTGCGGCGGCGGCGGCGGCTGTGTACGGAGGCTCGACGGTGTTCATGGAGGGTGAAGAACATAACCTTCAAGATTCATTCTTTGGCGGCTCGCATGAGTCTCAGAGCTATGCTTCCATGTTTTCATCTCTAGATGCTAATGATCTTCAATCCCCTGTAATGGGCTATATGAACCATTGATACATGAGCATTTGATCAATTCTTGAGAGAGAGAGAGAACAATGTTTCTTTTCCAATTTTCATCTTCTTGAATCTTCCTTTGAGAGTTTACCATTAAAGCTTGATAAGCTTCTCGCATGGTAACTCGGTATATGTACAGTCTGTAATGGAAGAGATCAATAACCTCTGATACAACCAACGTATCCACAAAACATATCCGCACGACAGATATTTACATGGTTTTATCATTTCAGGAGGAACGTCAAAACCTGAACAAGGGTCAAGCATGAGACAGAACACAAGTTCGTGGGACAAGCAACGATGTTTGTTCAAATGTTTTGTCTGCCCATTTCCGGTATTTATCATCGTTTCGAAACCAAAACAGAACCCGAGATGGACGCAGACCAAAAACCCGAGATGAAAAACGAACTACGAAACTGTTTATATCCCCAAAAAAAGAGATTCACAGATGTCACGCCTGACTTTGCGTTAGCTTCTAGTTCCTCTCTTGTGATGAAACCTGACCTTCAACAAGAACTGCAACTTGACCTATAACCAAGAGAGCTATCTTTGTCAGAGACAGAACCATAACTACTCAAAGTATGGAAGTTGTGTCCATGAATTGCAGAACTGTATGCACTGTAAAAGGGAGGACGAGGGAAGAAGGGAACGTACTTGGGCCGTGTTATAGACAATGTACTCGTTGTACATAAGTTCAGAAGCCTTGACCTTCGATGCAACAGGTTTCCCACAAGGAACAGTCACATCATCTCTCCACTTGACAAAATCTTGTTCATGTGGTACTTTCTTGCCAAGCCCCTTTGTTGAGTGTTTCCCTCGTGGAGGTTTATCCATATACTACATAGGATGGTAGCCATCAAACAACAACCAAAGTTACCAAACCGTATATGCCCAAGAAGATGCATTGATAACGTAAGCATGATGTCGGCTAAATATGGACTCACCTTTGCCTTTGTGAGCTCATATACTTCTCCCAAAGCAACTTCACTTAGAAGCATTAAGCCCACCGGGTTTTCCTTACTAGTGTAGCAATACTGAGCACTTTTACTGACAAGGTCGGCAAAATATACCCCCTTCCCAAACTGCAATGCCAGAAGGCAAAGGTAAGTTGAGATTTTTCGAAAAGAAAACTAGAATGAGGCAACGAGCACCAATTTTTTTTTTGGCTGTCCATGAGGAACTATTTTGTAAAGTAACTAAAAAAAGCATGAAGCTTTGGAAACACAAGGAGTTCATTTACTAGTTGGAAAACCGTAAAATGACCTTAAGGTTTCAAATTTTCTTACATAAGGATCAGATATTTTGCAACTTCAAGTACTAAGACAAACCGATTTTGCTCATTCTGTTATGGTTAGAGAACCTAATAACTAAGCACCACACAAGTACAGTTAGGGAGGAGAGAACAGACCATGTAGCCAGTAGCAGGAGCTTCTGGTGGCGCAATTCTCAGTCCCTGGCTCAGAATTCCAACAAAGTTCGTCAACCGAGATCCTGAAGACAGTTTTTTAGCTCAGGTAAAGCAGTAAACTGACACAAATATAGAAAACCCCGGGAAAACAACAATTGAGTTGTAATGAACGTGCTTCCAATCTTGACCATTAATAGATACTTGCAACTGACATACCATGCCAGAGGAGCATCTTATTGCCAAGCTTTTCCCTGTAAGGAGCAAATTTATCAAACTCTCCTTCTCTTTCCAGGGCAAATACTTCCTCCAGTTCAAGAGACCACTCCTGATAAACCCAAAATGTAAGAAGAATTTGTGTTTAGTTAAAACTTAGAACAAGTAAATACACCAACGAAAAATCATGTAACATCCCAGCAAAAGGGTTAGGAGAAGAAACACATGTAGATAGCACGAAACAATATATAGACATACTTGTAGAATGGAAAACCAAAATACAAGAAGGGGGAAAATGCACTCTGAACTCACAGTATGTGTCGGGGCATGAGTTGTGTGAAGGTATTTCTCGATTAATCGATAATCCTCACTATCAGGAGGAAGTGACAAGATTTCACAACGCAATTTCTTATATTTATCATCAAGGGATTCGGTGTTATCAGCATCAAAACCAACTAATCTCGAAGCTATTTCGATATCTTGCAGAGCCTCTAGCATTTTCACCTATGACACAAACAGATACAGCATTACTCATTTGTGTTAGGAGAAACAAATGCTATAGCTGGCGTCTGAAGACAAGTACCTTTGACTTGAAGTCGTGTTCATCTCGAATAATATGAGGATGAATAGAAGGGATCATAGTGAAAAATCTATTACTAGCATCAACAAGTAAGCTTTCTTTGATAGAAGGCTGGTGGTCACTGTCAGTCAGTAGTTTCTGTATCTCAGTCAATGCCTCAAAACCTGTATAGAAAAATAAAACAAAAAGACATAATTAATATAACGCAGATTGCATTATCAACAGGTCAAGATTAAAACTATATATGGATTTACCCTTTTGTATGTCATGTTTGCTAAGTTTTCCAAGTGGCATCTCTGACATATTTATCTCGAACTCCATCATAGCCGCTCTGCCAAAATCATATGCTCCTAATGTGTTAGACAGTTTTATGGCAGAGAAACAAACATATAAGAATCAAAAAGAGGGAAATTAGGTTCTAACCGATATGTTTCCACATCAAAAAGCATCTTCATTAATTCTATTAATGGAGGAGCAAGGTTGCTACTAATGTCAGCGGTTGGGGCTTTCACTACTTGCTTGTTTACTCCATAATCCTGAAATCAGATACAAAATTATATCGGTGCAGCAAAAATAAAAGGTTAACCAAACATCCAAGTTAAAAGAATGATTAGAGAATCACAATGTCCAGTGGGAAAAATCTGCCAGGATGCTTCCGGAAATCCTTTTTCTGTTCCCATTCTTCCCATGTGTTTCCAGTCTTTTCGAGGAACAGACGTTTAAATTCATGAATTGCATCAGACTTCGACATCTCATCCAGTTTGTTACCTCCAATCTTTTCATTCCCGACTCGACCCCATTTACGGAAAACGTAACAATCTGAACCTCTGTCTTCTTGGATAATCTGAAGTATATAGTAGCTTCACAGAGCAATAGAGTCGGTGTTACAATGCAGCGAGGTAAAGTCATGTCTGTAAAGCTACAATATACACTGGCAGGGCAAGACTTACCTATTAATACCAGTTGAAAGATCAGACATGCTAAGAGTCGTGTTATAGATGCTATTGCCATCTTCAAGAATATGACAATACTCTTGGAGGCCAGATGCTTCGTGCACAGCACTTCGACCCTTTACTTTAACAGTGACCATGCTCTCACCAGTGTCCTCAAATTTGTACAATTGAAATGGAAGCTTCCTCTGCTTTTTGAAACAATCCACCAGATAATCCTCTCTCACGATGGGTATTTTCATCCTCCTGCCACAAATATATCAAATCCAAGTTCAAAATGACAGGGAAAGAACACATTGAGCCAAAGAGTACCAGTGCACTACATATACTAAAAGCAGTGCTCTACCTTGCTTTTCTCATTTCAGCATTTTGCATGTCCAGCTGCCCACAAACAACCAAACAATTTGTACCTGCAATTTTGTGAGACTGACATGAAGGCTGTAAACAAGTTCAAAATAATCTAAAACCTTTCAAAATTTGTCTGTACCTTTTTTAGCTTTAGCATGAACCTCTCCCCCTGCTTCCTCAATTTTCTTCTTCCATGATTCCTGAAAAAAGGGCTCTATTAAGTGATAAGTGTGAATCTGATTTGGAAGGCTATACGAAGGATGGATATCCACATACGCATTCCTTAGAGGATCCGGCAATTGAAACTCTTAGATTTCCCAGTTTTTCACCACTTGGAGAGTCAGATGCATCCTTAGAAACTTGACCCGGAGCCCCTCCATTAGATGATGATGCAAGGCGCAGGATACGCTTAGGCTTCACGGTCTTTTGTGAATTATACCACTGCAAGGAAAAAAATAACAAAAAAGATTCTGTCAGAGAGACCTTTACCACCTATAACTCATACCCAAATTATATCACCTCTACAGAACCACTGTTACCTTCACAACGAATTGATTCTCCAATTCTTCCGGAATTTTCCACTTCCCTTTGATACGTAATGGTTCAGAAGTGGAATAAGAACATTTGCTCCATTCCGAAATGTAACCATGGCACCGGTAAATACCTCCAGAATAAGAGATATGACTGGAGCAAATAGGGCATTTATCAAGTGGACCAAACATCATGCCATCGGCACTGCAAAGAGGGAGGACAAGGGGGAGTATATGTGTCAGATTCGGTAATTCAAAATAACCTCTTAAAAATGTTTATGGAGTTGGACCAAAAAATTATTAATGCGGAAAAGAGGTAAAAAGCATTTCATGCAGCTCCATGTTACATGAACAGGAATCAGAACTGAAAGAAATTCATATAATGATTCAGCAACCCAAATTAATTTTAGACAGCTTAAACAGTTATAGACAGGATTATGTAAGGTAATTACCATTGGTCACGCAGATCAAGTTCTGATCCTTTCGTACTCTGTTCATTTTCTTCAAGCATTTCTCGCAGCTCAGCTGTTGTCACATATTTTTTAAGATCATCCTTCAGATCCCACAACTCTCTTGTTTGAGCCTCCATTTCCTTTTCTGTGCTACAAGCCTGTAAAGCACCACTTGTAGGCACATCAAAGCTAGTCTTAGCTAGTTTTGACTTCTTTTCATTATCCAAATCCTTTCTCCGCTTTGCCCCTGGTTTTGAAGTTGTATGATGCACTTCAACCACCTCGGTCCCAGATTTTATTCCTAAATATGTTAACAAGAACACGATACAAGTTATATAACCTCAGATCAAGCTCCTACGACAACACAACGGATTATGATGACCTTTGGAGTATGCATGCATTGACAACCCAATATTCGTCCTCAGTGATAACTAGTACATGGTCATGCAAGCACGATAAGATGCATAAGCAGCATAACTAAACCAAACAATCTAAAACCTACCCTGTTATCCCAACCCGCTATTTTGTCCTAAGCATCAGTCAACCACACCATAGATCCGTACCAGTTTTGTCTGTTGAAGGAACTTTCTTCACCAGAGGAAGAAGAACGTTATGGTCCGAGTCAGGTATGCTACTCCACCCGGGCAAATTTTCCAGTTCAATAGAGGGGGACATTTCAAGGAAACATTTTGCATGGTGCCACATCACTTGCTTGTTACCCACACCTTCAGGCTTGGAGTATATACGCACCTGAAAATAGTATCTCGATAATCTCATCTAGCAAGACACAGTTAATATCTCTTTACTATTATCAGTGAGTTTTTTTAACTGACAATATTCAGTCAGTGTCGATGGATAATTGATATTCCTGATCTCTACAATGGCACAGAAAATAACTACCTCTCCTTTCATGATCTTTTGACTGCATTTTCTGCAATTGGCACGTGAAGTCTTGGAAACTTCGATCCCATATTCCAATTTCTCGGTGCCACCGTCATTCTTGCTACTCCCCGGTTCAGCCTCCTCTACGTATTTTCTTATTTTTTGCTGATCTTCCCACCGGAGTGATTCTATGCCTTCAACATCATCAACTCTAGAACAAAACAAGAACCAAGAAAATGTTAATAGGAGAGCACACCACATACATTGAAATTTCCACGGCGTTGGCCTTGGCCTTGGTTTTTACATACGATTTTATCTGCTTTGCTTTCTTCAGTATGCAATCAGCATGGTGCCACATCTGTATGAGAAAAAGAGGAGAGCAGAAGATGGGTCAGTTCCAATATGCCATCTCTTGCAAAGGTAAACAAATAAATTTTACCTGGGGAAGCCAAGGCCAAGCAACCCAGAGACGAAGAACTACAAGTGTGCTATGTAAAATGCAGAGAAAATAGAAGTTCATGGACACGCCAGAAAATAACAGGGAAGTAGGGGCATCATACATTTGCAGAGAGACCAAGCTTATTATGATCATGATAGCTAACAGTGGAAAACATGATAGAAATCTTTAACAACAAAAAAAACATAATCGCGTCAAAACAAGCTTCAGAAAATCGACAATGTCTGACCACAAAATATCTTGCGCTGTTTCAGGCACATCAAACAACCAAGCTTGACACTCTAAACAAAAAAAGAAAGAAAGAAGGAAAGTATTTCACATGTGTCATTGCAAAAAGCATGAGCCTTTTGCATTCATCAAGTTGTGTCCAAAGTCAAAGCGACTAAGATTTAGTTCAAAACGCTAAATTTTCATGAAAATGACTGACAAAAACACCCTTAGAAGAGAGCACCGCCCAGAAGAAGAAGAAGAAAACTGCTCAGTGACGCACAAGTAGAAAAACAATCATAATCTCTACAGTTCCATGAAGAAGTCCAAAAACATGAGAAGACAGAAGAAAGGATGAGGGCAAAAATGCAAAGAGAACCCCCATTGCCAATTTTGAAGGGCAAAATCCCAGAAAGCAAGTAACTTTGCGGTCTGAAATCGACAAAACAGCATCTAGAAGCAAAATAAAAGAAGACCCACGAATTAGAATCCAAGCAAACAAGCAAAAGCACCGCAGGGTGAAGTCCAAAATTCCGAGTGAGAGTGCAAGCGAGAGAGAGAGAGAGAGAGGGTTATACGGGCATGAAGCCGTCGAATTGGGTTGCTTGAACCATCTTGCCCAGACGGAGCTTCTCCTTGTTAATGGGGGAACGGCATGTCTTGCAGGAAGACCTCGCGGATTTTGCATACTCCGCCTTCCACGGCTTCGGCGGGGGCGCCATTTCAGCCGCCTCTCTCTCTCTCTCTCCCACTGATCACAGTGAGAGATAGATACGAATGCGCACGTGTATATATATATACGTATGCGTAGAAGACGACGGTTTCTGTTGGTGATGGCTTCTCGGCGACGCCTTTCTAGTTATCTACCTTCTCCCCTGTTTTCCCCCTTGGTTTTCTTACCTGCGATTTTCACCCTAGAATGTAGAAATGCTCCATCATCGTGATGTGATTAGATTAAATTAAATTAAATTAAATTAAATTAAATTAAATTAAATTAAATTAAATTAAATTAAATTAAATGCAGTATCAGTGAATAATAAAAGTATCCACTGAGGCATGTTAATACTATTCAGCCGACACATACACTAATATATATACACGTGTCTGATCACAGTGAGAGATAGATACGAATGCGCACGTGTATATATATATACGTATGCGTAGAAGACGACGGTTTCTGTTGGTGATGGCTTCTCGGCGACGCCTTTCTAGTTATCTACCTTCTCCCCTGTTTTCCCCCTTGGTTTTCTTACCTGCGATTTTCACCCTAGAATGTAGAAATGCTCCATCATCGTGATGTGATTAGATTAAATTAAATTAAATTAAATTAAATTAAATGCAGTATCAGTGAATAATAAAAGTATCCACTGAGGCATGTTAATACTATTCAGCCGACACATACACTAATATATATACACGTGTGCGTGTTAAAAAGCAGAGGTAATCATGTTTTATTTGGCACCGTAATTCAAAGCATTAACGTGTAATATATTATTTATTTTATTACGGCAATTAGGTTTCAGTTCTGAAAGCTTTTTGCTCTTGACACGTGGAACCTGGAATTAGTGCCCTCGGTATATTATTAGCATTTTGATAATTAAATCCACGCCACTATCAACACTGTATATCAATAGCATATTAATTGCAATAAATTTTATTTTTAATAGTTTTTAGTTTTTGATTTATTTCTTTGATGTTTTTAAGTTTTTATAAAAAATAATTTTATAAAAACTTAAATCGTAATTTTTTTTTGTTTTTGGATTCTAAAATCTCTAACCATAATTCTGTTTTTCTGTAAACTTTTAAAAAAAACGGATTTAAAAATCCATAAACCATGTTAATTCCATGAAATTTCTTATGTGACTATAATATATATATATATATATAAGTGGCGGTCCAAATCATTTTAATCCCCGGATATTGTGTTTTTTGTCCCGTATATTCTCCGGTCCGTATCTCCCAATGACCGTGTGTATGGGTAGCTGCACTGCACTTACGTATGCCCGTAACTAAGCCTTTGACCAAATCAGACTCCACAAAAATTGAATTTCCAGTAAACGCTAAACGTTGAATTTCGTTGCACGTCAATATTGAAACACACGACTTATAATCTGCATTCCCTTTTCACATTTGTTTATGCTCAATCTTCAGTCCAGGAACCGAACCGAAGTTAACCGGGATCATACTCCGGTTTCTACTGGTGATTCCGGTTCGTGTTAACTTGTTTGATCAATTCAAATGTTGAAGAGCCCAATTCATTAGAGAAAAAAATAGGTCAAAGCTCGAGAAAAATCCACATGAAGACCCAATAAGTCATAAACAATGAAATCACCCCGCCACTCTCATCCCTATAAATATAAGTCCCTCGGCCAAATTAAATGCGACCGTCCCATCAAAAAAAAAAAACTCACCATACAATATGATGAAGAAAGTGTTATTGGGAATCCTCTTAGTGGCTCTTGTTGTTGTTTCGTTGAGTCCCGGCCGAGTTGAAGGTTCGAGGCTGTTGCGAGCCGCCGACGAGATTCGGCTCGGCGGGTTCGTCCTGCAAATGCTCCAAAGGGGTCAGACCACGCCCTCCGGTCCAAATGGTTGCACCAACATCCCCCAAGGTTCAGGCCAATGCCACGGTTAAGCCCCAGCCCCCCAAAAAAACATTCTTTGGTTCTTTTTTTTTTCTTTTCTTGAACAGAAAATATACTACTTTTATATTATATGATGGAAAATTGTCACGCCATCATATATATATATATATACACACACACAAAGCAAACCCATGAGTTTGTTGAATTTGTATAATTTTAAATAAATAGATAAATCAATGAATTGTGTTATTCTTTGATTTTTGTATAGATGAATTTAATTTAGACGTGTAGTTTTTTTTCCTTTTCTTATTTATTTTGTCTTATCCCCTCAATTTCAATGAATTTCACACGGCTTACATGTGTCTGCGCAACAAAAATATATACCAAATTTCCTTGTGAAATTTGTAAGAAAAATCTCCCAGCGTGCCACGATGGACTACTAAGACATGTTGTGAGAATATATTTATTTTCCATAACAGTACCAAAGTCAAAATCGGTTTAATTGGATCCTTAAATTAAAATGTGCAAATATGAGTTAGATTTTGTAGGCATACCTATAATCAACGATGCAACAAATCAACATCTTATCAATAATAAAATCTTGTAAAGATTCAATATGTATATCTTAAATCGATATATATATATATTCCCGATCTAAATCTACAATCCCAAAACTAATCATGTTTGTATTAGATTTAAATATCAAAATTATTTTGTTAAATTGATTTAATACTATATATATTAAAAAAATTCAAAAATATTATATATATATATATATATACATATTATAACTAGATAGAATACATAGGGTCTACTTTTTATGTGGATGATTGAAAAAAAAAAGAATATATTTCTCTATATTCCACGACATTATCAAATTTGTGTACAAAATTATTATGTATATGGTAAGTCCAACTTGTGAACTACTAAAAAGATTAAATATATAACTTATTGAGATTTATCTTAGAATAAAGTGTAACTCTGATATATGAATTATTATAATTGGATTATTTAATTGGTACGAAATTATAAGAAAATGACAAAAAAGTAATAATTATTTTTTATTTTCTATTTTATCTATAAATCACAGTTTATTACTATTTTAAAAAAATACATAATTTTATTCAAAATTAGTCCGACCCTAAGAAATTTTAAAAAAATTATAATTTTTTATAAAAAAACATCATGTTATTTTTGTGGAATTAAAATAAGTTGCTCACCATTTTCCCATATAAAAAAAATGTCAGTGATCCAATTGCTGGATGTAAGATCGTTGAGTGGGTCGGATCCTTAAACCCTCGGATCCGACGTTGTCCCCAAAAATTCAGGTGAACCCTTAAACCCCAATCTGTCACCTGAAGAAGAAGAAGAAGAAGATAACAATGGTGAACAAAGCTTGGAAGGTAATTCCAAGGCCGCTGCTCGAGACCGTCCTCAACAACCATGTCCAACGTCACCGTGTTTCTCAGCCGCTCATTCTCCATGGTCCTCGCGGCGTCGGCAAAACCACTCTGATCCTTAATCGTAACCCACTCATAAACCCTAATTTCCCATTTTCCAATCCCCGAATTCTCAAAGATTTCAGATTTAATGAGCTACGATCTCGTTTTTTCAGGTCTTATAGGAGAATGGAACAAAGGGCCTCATCTCGCAGGCTATGTCGATTTCGCACAGTCGGTGAAGGACCACCATCCCGATCACCACCAGTCATTTCCATGGGCGTCTTGGACTAACTGTGACCCGCCATTGTTGTCCGATTGCAAAACCCAGCTCGAGAGTTGTCTCGAATCTATGAGCCATAAGGCTATCAAGCTCGGGACCATAAGCTCGCACCAGATTTTCACTACCCTTAACAAATGGCACGGTCTTAATGCCTCACTTCGCCGCATACTCCAGGGATTGAACTCTGCCGTTCCCAATAAGGCCTCCATCTCCGTTCTATGGGAACGGGCGGTTTATGCGCTTTCTGTTCGACAAAATGCCGCTGAGATTGATGGGTTGCTCGAGTTGAAAGGGAAAGACAAGAGCTTGTCCGTGGAAGAGGCTTCATATTACCGGGAGGCCGTTGTAGCCTTGAGATTGGCCAAGGAGGTGATTGGGGTGCATCATGGTTGGAAAGCCAATTCCATCGCCCATATGAATCAAACCAGTGGATTTTCCAGAACGTTAGCAAATTCATGCACTGACTGGCCGTTGTTGCTGCTCGAATTGTTGTCACAAGCTGCGGAGATTGGTTACTTCCAGGTAATGGAAGAGATAAGTATAAATATAGCCAGATGACCCAGAGGCTTTTACCCTATCAGTAGGAGATGTCGAATTTCATATGTGGAAATGATTTTCGACTGTGGTTATGTTTCTCTATAGTATGTGTTGTTGGCTTAGGTCTAGTTATGGTTGTCTTTTTTGGCAGCCTAAGCTGATTATAAACAACATCGAAGTCCTAAAGAATGGTATTCGGACAGATGATTCAACAATCTCTGCGCCAATGTATCATGACAGCCTTGTATGGAGAATAATTTCTCTAGGTGTGAATGAGCGCTGTCTTCCCATCGTATTCGTGACTTCAGATAGGTTGGTCCTGCTCTGGTTTTCACTTTTTGTTTCGAATGTATCACTTGCCGCTAATTATTTATGTGTTTTTCTGCTAAAGTTTACTTTTTTTCCAGAACACTGTATCTGGAATGGGTTTATCTTGTACATCACTTTGTAGCATGCCTTTGCATTTAAATTTCTGAGATGCCAATTTAGTTCTTTCTGAACCTGAACGTCATTTTATGTCCTTCGTTTTGGAAAATTTACTATCTATACTGACTTTAGAATCAACTGACATGTGTTATATAACAGCTACTATTCATATCAAGCCTTTGTTGACTTCGGGTTTCCAGACATTTTCATCTCTCGAGAGGTAGAAGCTAGACATCAGTCTCTTACTAAACTATGCCATCTTTGTGTATTTACTCTCACATATAGCAATAGAGAATATAGAGCTGATCATTCTCAACTCATGCTTTATTCGAATGTAGTCTCTTCTGATCCAAGAGGCCATGCTACCTTGTTTGATACTTTTAAGTATTTCTAGTATTTTAATTCTGTATCTCGCTTTTGGGTTTTGGCTTGTTTGGTTTGTAGACATTTGGATGGACCCCTCAAGAAGCCAAATTGCACATGGTTCCCGATTACTTCAGTGCTTTGGAGGTGAGAAAGTGATGTAGGTCACTAATGTCCATTTATTTTAGTGAAACCAACTAATAAAACAAACTGAAAGGTTGAATGATCTTGTGAACCTGTTAAACAAGATGGGATATGGCTTAAGTGGTTGGTACATATAATTTGTGGAGAGTTCTAACATATAGTTCGAAACTTCTAAATTGCAGTGGACTGTGATTGCTGATGTTCTTGGGGCCAATGCTCGGCATCTATTTGAGCTTTATGCCCTCAAGCAAAGTAATGATTACCAAAGGTAAAGTTATATGTTCCTGTTTATTCTCTCTTTCTTCCATTCTGCCGATTCCATTCTGTCTCTTTTGGCCTTTTTTGGCTTCATCATCCTCAAGAACTGAAAGGAATGGCAAAAGAAGTTCCTCCTTACATTCAATCCAGTAATATGAACAGAACAATTTGAAGCATTTCACAGTTAAAATGTAACAGCATTCTATGCCTTTGTGTTTCATTAGTTTGATGGGGGAGAAGGCGGGCACATTCGAAGATATTGTGGACGCATACTTAGCATATTTACAAGTAAGCAAGCTGTCGCTGATTAGCATTGCAGTTACTCTTATTATATTTGATACAGTTGAACTGCCCTTTGATTTTTTTTAATATCTGTGTCTGCGCCTTTTTTCTTGTGTAGGTTGATGTGGTTAATCCTGCCATGGACAAAGCCTTATTGCTGCTTCAAAAATATGATGCTGACGCGCGGAAAGGAAGAATTCCTGAAGAAAAATTACGCTTTGGTGCTCCGTGGAGGCATCCCCCACGTACTGAGGATTCTACTTTATGCTTGGAATGGGCTAAAATTCAACTGGTGGATTTTGTCCAAGCTCTTGTCAATACCGACTTTGGGGTACCCCGTTTGATCACTCTTCTAAAACCCTCGTATTCCTTTAGAGAAATGAGACCAATATTCATTCTACTCCATTATAAATCTTTACAGTTAACAGTACAAAATATGTGATCCTGGAATTTTTTCTTGGTTTTTTATAACATTTTTACATTGATGATTCTATAGGTAAATTATCTTGCAGACTATAGTCTTGAGATCTTTGAAGATCCTTCTGCAATGGCATTGGTGGAGGTAAACCACAGATCTTGAATTTACATTCTCTGATTACCATTCTTCGCATATATCTCGATTACAAATCTGTTAAGAGAACTCAAAAGTGGATTCCAAATTCTCGCCATGAATGATACTTGCTTCTAATGTTAACAGCAACTTGATGAGAGAAGTTCAATGGCCTACATGTTTCTTGCTTTTGTTTCCAGGTCGGGATATTGTATGCTCAGAGAGATCCGTCCTTTTTCCGTCCTATATCCAAAGGCATTCAGAGGTGTCTTGTGAGATGGTGAGGAAACTTTTTTTTTCCTTTGCCGGGCGGTCGAGTATCTGTCTACTCTTGAAATGTTCTTTTTGAAAACCTCAGACAAGTGAGAGTTCTTCATGACAGGCTTGTCCAAGAGAAGATTAAACTGAGTTATCGGAGCTCGTTCAAATATTGGTGGCATAGAATCATCCGTGGGCGTTACTACCGCCATTTGATGCTTGGCTACAAAACATAAAACAATCAGAACACACTCAGGTACACAGCTTTTCATGTTTGGTTCAAGTTTTCGTCTTAAATTGTTTCAGCCTTGGATCATGTATCCAGGATTATCCCGTAAAATTTTTATCTACGTATATGCTTGAGCTAATTTTTTGTGCGTTACATCAACACTATTCTTTTTAAAAGCGACATGTTCTGCTTTATTACATCAACTACTTCAAGAAACTTGTCCTTATAGCTTGTAAAGATCTTGTGTTCCTGCTTCTCAGAATCGTTATCTGGCAGCATTTCAAGGGAGGAACGACGTCAGGCTTCGCCGAGAATTGCATGTTAAATTTCAGAAGCAGGCGGATGAATCATCGTATTTCTCGTGGCGTATATCCGATACAGTTTTTATCTATCGAATAAGAAACAGAGGAGATCTGAACGACAACTTCGTCTTGGAAGATACATGAGAGGGCAAAAGCTTCTGCAGATGGTCAATGAGTGTATGGATACGGCAGAGTACTTTGAAAGGAGAAAAAAAAATAGTGATTTATTATTACTGTTATTTTCATTTTTATTTTTTGGACCAACGGATAGTTTTTCTGGGTGAAAATGAAAATATTTTCACATTCGGTTCTGTAATCCAAGTTATATCGAAATCTAAACTGCAACATGTTTTATTTAGACTTGTCTCTGGCCTTCAGACAATGTCCTCCGAAGGTGTCCCCCAAGGTCAAATGAATTACCCACGTGCCTATATGCATGTATATATGTATGTGCGTATATATATATATCCGTACCACGTGCATGTATGCATGCATGCGTAAACGCGTCGTGTGGTTGGTGTGGTTGAGATTCTTGTGCTTTTATTACAGTTATGGTTGGTGAGCCAAATAAAATAAACAATTCGGTTGATTAAGCCATTTGAAAAGTAGAAATGAAATTTCTCGTACCAAATTGACCTCTTTTTCTTGTTCAAGGTCAATGCTTTGTATTTTTATTTTATTTTTTGAACAAGTCGTCACAAAAAAAAAAAAAAAGTTTCGTCACACCCTGTAATGCTCACGAGCTCTTTTCCCATTGAAAGAAACAAAAATCGTAATCCTTTCAACCATTGAAAAATAATAAATAAATCTTCGTTGATGGAGATAAATAAACAGGATACAAAGAAACCTCTTGCAGATGCCATATTCATCCTATACAATTTCATGAATAAAACGTAACCAACATATATATAAATACATACTATGTATATGTATATGTATCTGCATATGTGTATATAAAGAACCAAAGAATGTGAAGAAAACAAAGTGACGATGAAGGTAGTAGGTGGGGCGGCCACGGCGGCTCAGCCATGGCATCTGCCGCTGCCACGGGGAATGTGCGGGCAGCCGTTGCCCGGGGGATCGACCGGACCCCTTTGCAGGCTCTGAAACACGAACCTTATCTCGTTCTCGGCTCGGACCGGCCTTGCGCCTTCCACCCTCTTCACATCCAACGACGAGACAACTAGGATTGCCACTAAGACCAAAACCATTATCACTACTTGTCTCTTCATCTTTACTTTTTCTTTTTCTTTTTTTGAGAGAGAGGGGATTGGATATTAGTTTTTGTGGGTTGGCAGCTCTTATATAGGGTTGCTTTTGTTTGACCTTAGGGTTTCTCTACATTTCCTTTTTCTTTTTGAGTCTTGATTTTGAAAACTGCGGTTTTCAAACGCTTTGAACCGAGATGTTGGAATTGATCAAACAAGTTAAAAAGCATTTGGTCCACCTTGAAGAACACGAGGATTACGTTTTCACCAAGGCCCTGAAAATACCGATAACCGGGTGATAACCCCGGTTAACTTAGCCCATTATACTCGATTTTAATTCGGTTTGGTTATGCATCAAAACCCTTCATTATATAAGCTTAATTTGACCCCTTGTTTCTTTCGTCGTATCAAAACTCTGGTTAAGATTTCGGGAATACATACACGGTTAAATGAATTTCGGTTCGGTATTGGATTTCGGTTACCGATTTATTTGTTCTTAAAAAAGGACAAAGTAATGGATGAAAATGTAGCATTTTTCCAATCAAGATGCGATGGATTCAACATTTATTTAATTTGAAGTCCAAAGTCTGATTCGGTCTAACATTACAAAATTCTGCATATATATGCATGGATGCGTAAACACGTATGCACACAAAAACGTTTGCTAAAAATTGGTATATAACCATTTTTTATCATGTCTACATTTATTCTCAGTTTTGTTTCTTGTTTACACCTCTTCAAGAGTGCCCTACACGGCAACTTTGTCTTCTTATTTTTATTTTTTTATAAATCTCCCCAATGTCATGTATTATTATATTACATGTGAAAATTTGAAACATTAATTAAAATTTTTTGGACATATTTAATGTCGATTTTATACATGTTTAGTCTTTTTTTTATTCACGATCAATTGGAAACGTTATCTTTTTATTTAATTTTTTTTGTTATGTGACAAATGTCATCCTAAACGGAAACTGTTCTCTTTAATTGTGAATGCTTTTAAAAAAGATTTGAAATATATAAGGTGATCTGTTTATTTGGTTAATATAAAATTTTTTTGTGAAGATTTATAAAATTAATTGTTTCAAAATGATTAAATAGTTTTGTTTTTTTTTTAAAAAAGAAATTACAAGAGAATAGCCAGAACATGACATATTTACAATCAACCGAGTATGTTTTCGGTTCAAGGGAAAAACACATGGCGTCATTGATCGTGTCAATAATTTTTCTTTTGAGCTTGACCGACTTATATCATAATGTGATATGTGTAACAATTTTTCACCCACATGCTTAGGAATATATATATATATATGTGTGTGTGTTAACAAATACTTGGATCATGATTATTTGAGGTTACAAAGTAAAAAGGATACACATTATTAATAAAAATGATAAACAATATTAATGGACTCAAAATTTAAGAATTTTAATTAAGAAAAAAATATATTTTTTTCTATTAAACTCATCCAATCATAAAATAGATAACATATTATTCTATAAATATTGATATAATTGCAACTATATAATTAATAAGACGATGGAGGATGACAATTTCCTTTTCCTTTGGGAATATTGGTGCAGTTGTCTGCACCGGACCAGAGCTTGAACCACGTTGGAGCATTTGGTATACGGGCCGACGGTTCGCATGGATTGCGGCTCGGGCCTGTTCTTCCGGTCTTCCACATTCGACGACTCGAGTAGAATCCGAAAAAATTACAAGAAGAACAACTAAAATGACTCAAAAAACCACTTGTTTCTTCATGTTATCAAGTGTTAGGACAATTCAACATTTGTTTTCCTAGTACACATTGAATTTGGTAAATGGCTATATATATAGTCTTTTCTAACATTTTAAGTTTTGAAATCTTGAAACATTAATTAAATTTGTTAAACGGTCTTATGCTCTAATGACATAAATTATTTAATCTTCTATATATTTTAGAAATATTTAATGGTGATTTTATACATTGTAGACTTTCTTTTTTTATTCACGGTCATTTGGATACATACGTTTTTATTTTGTTATGTAATAAATGTCATCCTAAACGGAAACTGTTCTCTTTAATTGTAAATATTTTTAAACAAGATTTGAAATACATAAGGTGATATCTTTATTTGGTTAATATAAATTTTTTTTTGTGAAGATTTAGAAAATTAATTGTTTCAAAATGATTAAATAGTTTTTTTTTCCTTAAAAGGAAATTACAAGAGAATAACCAGAACATCGCATATTTACAATCAACCGAGTATATTTTCGGTTCAAGGGAAAAACACGCGGCGTTGAAGTTGTGTAGTGCTATTTGATCGTGTCAACAATTTTTGTGATGGTTGACTGACTTATTTCATAATATGATATGCATGATAATTTTTCACCCACTTGCTCAGAAATATATACATGCATATATATATATATAAATATATATTGGTCTACACTTCATAGGAACACAAGGTTTAGTCAATAAAACTAACATAGCTTGTGCTAAGAAGTGAAAAGGTATATATATGTATGTACGTGTGTGTATATATATATGTTGGGATAAAGACACAATAAGGACTTGGATCATGATCATTTGACGTTGGTAAAAAGGATACACATTAATAAAAATGTTAAACAATATTAATGGACTCAAAATGAAGTTAATTTGAATTCTTTTATTTACATATATTATTTATTTTATTTTGTGGATATTGATATTAACATAATTTAATATAATTTTTATATATATTTTTTGGATAATTTTTTCATACATAAAAAAATTATAATTTTAGGATATTAAATTACGTATATAAAATTATCTTTTTAATATTTTAAAATTAGAAAAAAAAATTCTTTTTAAATCCTAAAAAAATAAAATGATAATCTAATTGAATATATTTTTTTATTCTTGTTAAAAAGGATTTAGAATATTAAAATAATTAAATGGGATGAAATGAGTTTTATGGGTTTTATGTGTTGACCCAATCCATTTAACTATTGTTATTGGGTTATACCCAACCCAAACCAATAACTTATTAAATCCAAATGGATTATACTCAAATGGGTTGGGTAACCCAATATGACATTACTAGGTTCAAGGGAAAAACAAACGGCGTCGTTGATCGTCTCAACAATTTTTCTGTTAGGCTTGACTAATTTATATCATAATGATATGTGTAATAATTTTTCACCCACATGCTTAAGAATATATATATATATATATATATATATAT